ATCTTCTGAGCTTTCTTTGCTTATCTTCTGAGCTTTTTTTGCTTATCTTCTTCGCCATTTTTCTTCAATAGCTGGGTTCTTTATCTATTTCTACTGTTCTTGTCATCCCTTAATAGTTTGTGCAAGTTACTAAGGAAGAGTCTATTGAATCTTGGAGGATAACCGCTATAGTCCTTTTACATCGAGTTTCATACTCTGAAGGGGCTGAAATTATCTTTAAAGACAGTGATACCATGCCTCAGACTTCTTCATATTGTTTTTACTTATTTTATTTTATATTCCTTGTTTTCCATAATCTTTTCTAACATTATTTGTGTAAAGGCAATTGCTTGTTTGATATTTAACACGAAGCTAAAACAGTTAGTCACTTATTTTTCACTTGTGACATGGGGGACCTTGTGGAATATTCATTAGGTGGTCCATAATGAACCCTTGGTCTATTTTCTCTTATGGTTTGAGGTTATTAGTTACCTCAACAATGGCCTGATTTAGAAAATGGTTGGGTATGCCATTGTTTGGGCCATTTGGATAGTAAGGAACAATGTTGTTTTCAAAGGTAAAATTTGGGACGAGGAGTAAATCTTCAAACTTATTAAACTTAGAGTGGCACGGTGGATGAATGCTAAATGGCCTAGTCATAATTCGTTAATTTGTGATCTTACTGGATTCCTAAATGAAGGAATCCCCATGAAGTGCAAGAAAACTAAGAAAATGGAGGTTTGGAGCAAATAACAAAAAAAATGTCTCAAATTTAATACTAATGGAGATTCTAAAGGTTGCCTTAGGGAATCTGGTATAGGCAGTATCTTGGGAGCATGGGGATGTTCTCACCTTATTTTCAAATGTATATGCATATGTGATTCCGACAAAGCTCAGCTACTAGAGGTGAAAAAAGTTGCTCTTTTGTTCGTAGCCTCCAAATGCTGCTTTTCTCACACTTTTCTTATTAAATGTGATAATTCTAATGTTGTCAAATGGATTACTAACCTTAAAGAAGTTCCATGAAGAATGAGGATTCTAGTTATTCAAACATTTAATATTCTTGCTAAGATTTGTGGATGGGAGATCAAACACATCCCATGCTCTGTTAATGAAGATGCTCACACATTGGCCAAAGAAAGAATCCTTAGGCCAATGGATTTACTTTGGATTAATGACTTCATCTCAATGTAGTCGAAAATGGCTTACTCGGGGTGAGGTGTTTTGTCCCTTGCTATCTCCTGTTGTGTTTTTTCTTGCTTGCGCATCTTAATGCTTTCTAGTGCTACCATGAGAACATTTGATGTTCTTTATCTATTAATGTGTTTTGGTGGTTTACTAGTTGATCTCTTTTTTTTTCCCTTAGGGGTAAGATTATGTGCAAGCTCTTTTAACATGTATAAGTTAGGTATATGAGCCTCTTGTGAGGTATTTTTAAAATTTTACTTGGCTAGACCAAAGGTAAATGTTGGTCTACCCAAGTGGCTTCCTTCCCATAGGTTGTTTTTGATATCGTTGTGGGTTATTTTTGTCAAGTTGTTAAGGGAAATCTTATTCCCCATTCATTTTGGAATTTAATTGATCTTATCTACTTTTCAAAATAAAAATTATCAATATTAATTTATAATTGTTATTGAAAATATACTCAATAATATTTATTTAAAATGATAATTTAAAATAAAATGAACAAATGTATTATGCTTTTATTAATAATTTTTTTTACATATAAATAGATAGATAAATTGGATAGTTATCAACATTAATTTTTAAGTTAGACAAATTATTATAAAATTAGGCACTAGCAAGTACTTATGAATTTTATTCAATTTAATTTCTATATTTTTTTAATTTTATTTAATTTAATTCCTTTATCTCATAATTTTATTCAATTTAATTTTTATGACGTGATATATAAAAATTTTTTGAAATCGTTACACCATTGCTACCATCTCAATATGTTACTGCCACATCATTACTACCATGTCATTATTTCAAACCCATGTCACCTGATATTAGCAAATTTTGACATGTCATCATGACATCAGCAAAAATTTGTACATTGTAACTTCATTTCAATAGTATATAAAATGCATAAATATCCGTGTAGAGCACACACTATCATTAAACTTAAAAATATACATATTATTTTTTGCTATTTCATTCCAAAAATATTAAAACCAAAATATATAAAATAATTAATTAAATGTACATAATAAATAATAAACACCAAATGTGCATTAAAAATTAAAATAATAGTATAAATAGGTAGCGCACGATGAGTAGGATTGAACTGCCAAAAACTAAACCAAAAATTAGGCCCAAGTGGGCCGCACTTGCCCTTATGCGCCAACTGTTGATGTGGGCTTGGCTGGTTTGTGTGACAAACCCTTCTTCAGCCTCCAATTGGGTCAAGTCAAACGCGATCAGAGCAAAATCCGACCCTTTTAGGTCTATTTAAGTGTTTTCTTTAATTCTCGATTTTTGATCAATTTTAATCTAATTAAACCTATTAAAAACTCGATTAAAACAATGTTTTATGAAGATCATACATCAAAATCCATTAAAACAAGAGCAATTGAGATCAATAATTGAGTTATTTTGAGTTTTTACATATTCTTGACCTATTTTGATTTTCTTAATATTTGGTAATATAAACTCCATATTTAATTCAATTAAAGCTTTGTTTTTATCTTTATAACAAATAACAAATCATTTATAACGATCAATTTTAATTAATACGCACAAAATATGAAAGTCTTAATCGGTTCATGAATTGAGTTCAAAACTTGAACTGGAAAGTTTAGCCCTTGATTTCTCTCTCTACAAGTCAAGGCACACAATATGGTTTATACCAATTAATCTTCTCACAAGTAGGAACAAAAGCTTTATGCTTACTAAACAAATCAGTAATCGAAAATTAGTTTTCTGGATGTCCAAAGATCTCAACTCATATCTAACAACCTCATGGCAAATCACATAGAATAATATTTAATTGTATCCTAAATCTAAATTATGATTGCTCAAATACTAATGGTTAAACTTTATATATAATTAATTATACTTAATCTTGAATTCACCTAAGTGAAATCTAAAATATAAGAGTGTACCTAGTATTTGATATATGATTTGACAACAAAAATAATCAAATTAACCATTGAAATCTAATGGGTTAGATTTTCATTTTAATCTATAACTTTCAGTATGATCAATACCTTAAATGAATCTATTTGGTCCTTGGATGCTAAATATTTCATTTTTTAAACTTTAAATTGAGCTCTTCAATATTAGATTTGGCTCATCTTTTTACTAGTTTATTATCTTTTTATTCGTAATACATAATTTACTTTCTTGAACTTTAAACTAAGTTCTTAATATTAACTCTTTAACACTAAATTTTGTACTAGCTAGTCTCTTTGGTTAAGATGTTATATTTTGCGCAATTTGATTATTTTGACTAATCTCTATTTAAAATTATTCGACGACCCGCAACGAAGCAGCGTGCACCTTCCAGATAAGACATCACTAAATCTAATCCTTTACAGCTTGACATGTGTTGACTGGCAGCAACACTTACCAAAGAAAGATATTTTTCATGTGCATGTCACTTGCACATTAATTAATTCCAGTTAAAATGAATAAATACAATAGCATGCCAAGTTGCATGGCATGAATATAGTAGTATTAGGTGAAGAAGGAGACCACCAAAACATTAAATTTTGAGTAAAGTTTTGCATAAGCTTGAGAGTTGGCAGGTGATATTCAAGGAAGTTACACCGACTTATTTGAAAATTTCGCACTTCACTAGCCAAGACGAGCCTAAGAGAAATGAGATGGAACCTTGCATTGAAGTTCCCCATACCTGCTTTAATGGCAGAGACAAACCTACTTTGATACAAGTGATGTGAGATAACATTATTGAAGTAGTAAAAATCTTGTTAATTATGGCATTATAAATAAATTAAAGTAAATTTAGTTATGATATCACTTAAATAAATTCTGATGGAGTTAAAAGGAAAAAAAAAAGAAAAACAAGAGCACTACCCTCACTATCTTACTCTAAATTATAACATAGCTAAACATTAAATTTTTGTTTAGTAGAGTGAAAAGAAAAATAGGAAGATGGAAAAATTGAAAGAAGAAAAAGTAGAAAGATGCAAAGAAATATTTTTTTTTCATTAATAAGTTTGGTAGAAAACATGAAAAACATAAAATGTTTCATTCACTATTTTATAGAGTTGAAAAATGAAAAAAAAAATTGAAAATTATATTATTTTACTACCATATCCTTTTAAATTAAGATTAAAAACAAAAGTTAAAAAATTATATATAAACAATTAATCTTTTAAATATGCAATGCATGACTAACATATTTTTCATTTTCTCTCCTCTAATCTTTCTAATATAGAGTGATTTATTTGTGTAGATACGATTAAATTGGCATTGGCAATAGAGTCAGAAACGTTTCCAGCTGAGGCACTGTTTGATTACCTAAAACTTTAAATTGATAAATGCTAAATTTAATCCTTTAAATTATGTTGTTAAATTTAAAGGTAACAACAATCTTAAAATATCTATCCCCATCAACCTATATATATGGTTTATCTGAAAATTAAATTCAAGACAAAACTGCGTCTCCTTCCTTGGTAAATATGATTCTCACATATTTAGTCCTTTTAACATTTTGGGTGGTTTGGTTAGTAAAGGCGGTGCTGCTGCGTGCACATGGTACTGCTACTGAACTGGATCTAATAGTGCCAAAGGCCCAACCTGGCTACAGAAACTCGAGCCGAAAGGACTGCCCGTTCCTCACACACAAAATAAATAATGGGTAAAGCCGCGTGATATCATACACTGTGTTCTGGTTGGCTCGCGTTTGTTAGTGCGATTTTGACAGCTACTTAATGCTATGTTTCCTACTCTACAACTGTCTACAGCCCAGCTGAATGCACCTTCCTCGGCCTTTTCCTCAACCTTTTTCTTCACTATAAATACCAAGCTCTATCCTTCTTCTCAACACACCAAAATATCAAAGCTATTAAGGCCTCATATTACAACACATTCTCTCTTCCCAGGCAAACCAGAAAACAAAAAAAAGATAGAAAATGGGTCGACCGTCAAGTTCCAAGTTTACATTGCTTATGTCTCTCGTGATTGGCTGTCTCATGGCAGCATCAGCTAGCAACTTCTACCAAGATTTTGACATCACATGGGGAGATGGCCGTGGTAAGATAGACAACAACGGGGACGTTCTCTCTCTCTCCCTTGACAAAGCCTCTGGCTCCGGTTTCCAATCCAAGAATGAATATCTTTTTGGCAAGATTGATATGCAGCTCAAGCTTGTCCCTGGCAACTCTGCTGGCACAGTCACTGCCTACTATGTAAGTTATTCTCTAATTAATTCTTGGTGTCCGCAATTTGTACGAGGACGTGTCGATGTTGATGGCACAAATGCTGATGTATATTTCTATCTGCAGCTATCTTCCAAAGGATCAACATGGGATGAGATTGATTTTGAGTTTCTGGGGAACCTTAGTGGGGATCCTTACATTCTTCATACCAATGTGTTCAGTCAAGGAAAGGGAAACAGAGAGCAACAGTTCCATCTCTGGTTTGACCCAACTGCAGATTTCCACACCTATTCCATCCTCTGGAATCCCCAACGTATCATGTGAGTATTCATAAAATTGAAAATTTCCATTTTGCCGCATTTTTTTTCCTTTATTCCTTTGGTGGGAATTGCTTATTGACAAAATCTTGTTATGCTGTGTTCCAGCTTCTCTGTGGACGGCACTGCCATTAGAGAGTTCAAAAACATGGAGTCACTTGGTGTCCCATTTCCAAAGAACCAACCGATGAGAATTTACTCCAGCTTGTGGAATGCCGACGATTGGGCTACAAGGGGTGGTCTGGTAAAGACAGATTGGACTCAAGCTCCATTTACTGCTTCTTACAGAAACTTCAATGCCAATGCCTGTGTTTGGTCTAATGGAGCATCTTCCTGCAAATCAAATTCTCCATCTTCTGCCTCAACCAACAATGCGTGGTTCTCTCAGGAGCTGGATTCCTCTAGTCAGCAAAGGCTACAATGGGTCCAGAAGAACTACATGATCTACAACTTACTGCACCGACGCCAAGAGATTTCCCCAAGGTCTACCTCCAGAATGCAACATGTCTTAGAGGCAACATTAGCCAGCTATTAATTAGATCAATATTCTTTCAATTCTTTTTCTTCTTCAAGCCAAGTCATGATTCTTTTGTTCTTTGAGAAATCTCCCTATTTTGTATGTAATACGTTATCATATGATATGCAACAACAGGAGATTACTTCCTCCCTCAAAATTGATTGATGGGCATTGATTAGTTTCCTTTAGAGGGTAATCAAATTGAGACGAAGAATTAAATACCAATATTTAGAGATTTTACATATTTGTACACGGGCATAGGCGAGACTATTTAAATTAATCTGATGAACACGTAAAAGACAACAAGGACCTCAGAAAGAAAACCAAAAACAAAAGAAAAAACTTGATAAAGAGAAATATTCTAACTTACTATTTACGTGATAAAGATAAATATTTTCACTTGCTATTTCTACATGAAAAGACGTGATGAAGATAAATATTCTCATTTTTATTTACGTATGATAATTTAACACGGATAAGATTGAAAATTTTTGAAAAAAAAAAAGGAGAATGAAAGTCACTGCTGGATGTTATAATAATGGAATAAAAAAACAGAAAACAAGATAAGGGATTTGATTTACCAGGAATAATAAGGAAACATGAATCAAGAAAAATTAAAAGAATCTTGAAAACGTTAAGAAGAAGAAGAAGAAGACGCCACCTTTGACTATGACAACATGAAAACTAGGAGTACGAGGTTGGGGTTAGACTAGTTTGTATATTGAAATTAGCTATGGAATGATTACATATGTATATACACATATGAAGTATATTAGACTAATTCTTAAATTAACATTTATATACATATATATAAGCCAAAGGCAGATTATTTCAATTTGATGACAACTCAAAGGAAACCAAAACCAGGACGACAAATGAAACAAGCTGATAAAGATAAATATGCCCACTTGTAATTAATAAATATATTGTTATAACTTAGATATCATTTATTTCAATCCGTAGATTCTCCTTAAGTTTTTAAATCAAAATTAAATTGAGGGTAAAAATAAAACTACTATTAAGTCAGCATTTCTTACTATATACTTGTATTCTTTAATCTTTGCCCTTACTATAAAATGTCCTTTTGCTTCCCAGGTGGGAAACTTAACAATAGCTGGAAAATCAAAGAGGGCAGCTGGTGACAGCAACTGGAAAGCAATAGCACTGCCCTTTCCAGTTTTATCTCAAAACCAATGCAATCATGAAGTACCCTATATGTATTAATTGGTTGATTGGGTCCCTGCTTGTTGGTGGATATATTGACAGAAATCTTCTTCAAGTACTTTGTTTTTTTGCAAACAACTGTCCTATTGAATTTGTTCCTTTGCTTAATCCTGTTCTAATCACATCTTTACTTTCCTAATCCTAGGATAAACATCTTTTCACATCTCCACTCCACTTTCTACCATTGTTCGGGTAGAGATCTTAAGTTTAATTAAGCCATACTACTCCCTCTTCTGCTAAATCCATAGCAATTGCTATCCGGAAAACAGACAAAGTAATGAATTAAGAATTCACAATTGGATAGCTACGTTGTTGGGAAATCTTGAAACTTATTTTAGGGAATTGTGAGGTTGTTTTTGCATAATTGTCTTTGCCTTCCTTTCGTTTATATCAGCTTCTTTAATTTAAATTGGGCTTCATGTGTTCCTTTCTTTCTTCAAGGAGCGGTTTGGGCAACAGGATAAAGAGGACCTCTTGGATGCTCTTGGGCTGGGTTTAGTTAAGGCTTCCATATGAAACACACACATGAAATTCATTTTTCTATAATCAATTTTTATAAATTTAATATTACTATCTACGTCTTATATATATATATATATATATTGTGCTGTTTTGATTTCTTTAGGTCACATTTTTTCAACTTTGATTTAAATTTTTTAAAATATTTTATCGAATTAAATTTTAATTAATGATCATTTAAAAATAAAATAGAGTAAAATTAAAAATAATTTACCAAAAATTCAAAATAAGATAATATATATGAAACGGAAAGAGTAAATGGTGTGTGTGTGTATATATATATATATATATATATATATATATATTCCATATAATATTTCAAAAAATCTAAAGGAAAAAAAATGTAATTTGAATATATAAATAGGCATGTGCTGAGGCTGAGCAATTAGCTTAGGGGAGTCACCTTCGTACTTTTTGTTCCATATTCAAAAGCAAAACAAATGATGTCCCTCATTCCTGCAAAGTGAAAACAGCGGTTTCTATTCCTCAGAATTAGGCAGGCAATCATGGCCGTTTATAATCTTTTCAGAAGCCAGCTTCCCTTGGCCATGTGCCTCCTCAATATTCCTGTAACTTATTACTTCAAAAGAATTAAGGAATATGGTACATTCTTCATATGGAGGAAAAGCTCAAAAAACGACAGCAGTTAGGAAACAAAAAAAAAGGGCAGTGCCTGAAAGGAATCTGACCTGTAGATCGCAAAAAGTACAAGGCGAAATGGAGTGAAAGCAAATAATTTAGTAACAAACAGCAGAGAGGGAGCCTTCATTGTTGCAAAAACAAAAGGCAAGTAATTCAAAAACGCAAGCCTTCATTGTTGACCATCAACCCCAAGAGTCTCATTGTGATCTATTCCCGCAAGAACCTCGTCGCAAATCCAAAGAAGTTTGTTGGGATGTTGCACCCCTTCTTTTGCGAGTGTGTCAGCAGCTCCATTAATTGGCTTTAACATGTGCTTAATCTACCATTCCTTGATCTTGCCAGGTAATTTGCTGGTTTGAATAACTAAGTGTCTAAATCTCCAAGGAGTCTCATTTGGAACAGATATCCATTAACAATATTGCTATTATCACATTCAAGAATAAGGGGGAAAGCTTCATTCCACCTAGAGGCAGCATAGATGAGCACCGCTTCTCTAACAGCCATTAGTTCGGCCTTGTTGGAATCACAAATGCCGATAGCTTTACAGAAATAGTCAAAAGTGTCCCCTAAATCGTCCCTTAAAATAGCTCCAATACCTGATTCACCAAGACAGCATCTAGATGCTCCATCCATATTGAACTTAAGGCTACCATTTTGTGGCCTAAACTAAACCTCCACTCTCCTGGCTTAAACAGTATTCTTGGGGATCAAATCTTCATCAGGAAATCTAATCATGTCACCAAATAGAGATATTAAGATCAGGCCATTTGGCGTTTATCCACCAAGCAACCCAAAACTTCGTAAACTCAAAAATTTGCTGCTCATCCCATTCTTTGCCCTTGAATACCACCTCATTACAATCAATCCAAATAGCCCAAATGATGGCATGCTATGTCATTTTCCAAATCAAGTTGTTATGAGTGAAAGCAGCAAAACTGAACCAAGCAAGAAAACATACTGTGGGCTAGTGATGTATCACCCGTTACACGTTCCGTAAGGCTCCCCACTGCTGCCATAAGAGCTTTGACAAGTGAAAAGTAAGTGGTTTACAGTATCGGGTTCACGTCTGAAGAGTAGGCATGTTCACAGCTAAGCGATTTTGAAGAAGCTGCCAGCAGAATATCTCAGTTTTATAAAGAGCCAGTCCCATCCAAATTAATTTCCAGTGACTTTCCAAAGTAGCATTTGAAAGCATAACAAGCTGAGAGAAAGATTCCAAGGAATAATTGCCACTAGAGTTGGCCTCCAAATCAGTTTATCTTAGAAATTCCTACCGAGAGTTTGAGCTTCAATAAGACTTTTAAGGCTTCCCCATTGCTCGTTTTCCCATACAAAAACATTTTACTTAAGGTCAATTTTCCAAATCCGCTCCCTACTAATCCATTTTCCAAAATCATTGCTTTTTGCCCCCCTTTTCATTGCCAATGCAAAAATTTCTGAGAAGGAACTTTAAATATGCAGCCATTTCTTCGTCCCAAAAACTGATTCTTCACCCATTTTCAAGAGACAATCACATACCACTAACAACAAGGTCACTGAAATTCCCATCTCCCAAGAGTGGTTTTGTGGTACTTTCCATATGTTCCACGCTTTGTTAGGATTACCAACGCTTGGAATAATATTGTTATGTGCAAGTCTAGATTTTTCCACGATAATACACCTCCAAGGACTATCCGACTCATTACCAAAGTGTCACAACCTGATTCAATTTTATAAGCTATACTTTTTATATTCTTAATACTGTATTAATATTTTTGTTAAATAACATGTAAACTTAAAATTAAATGTTCACTTAAAACTCAAGGCAAATGATATTTAAAAATTATTATCATCTACATCTACAATTTAAAAATTATTCTTGATAAAGTCGAGATAATAATGTCTAATAATTAATCATATATAAATATTTAAATCAGTGCTAAATATACGTATATACTCCCATTTCAAAGGGTTATGTTCAAATATAGGGATCTCCCTTTCCCCAAAAACTATAGTAGTAGATAAAAGAAAAAAATTGCACGACTAGCAATCCATCTTTTTCTTCAAAAAAACTAGATCCTATAATAAGTATCTTCTTCATCTTAAAAACCCAAATTAATACATCTTTACATAGATTTGATTGTTCTAAATTACATATTTAAAATATAATAATATCCAAAAACATAACCGCTGAGAATTGTATATTTAAAATTACATAATAATATAAAAAAATACTGAAAATCGTATAATATCTAAAAAAATTGCTAATAATCATATATTTAAAATACAATAATCTGTTTCCCACTTGTTACATTTTAATACCAACAATAATTTGTTTTTACCAGTTTACCTTTATGCCAAAACTTTTAATTCTTTGGAGTGTCACTAATTAATAAAACTTTGTTGTTATATATACCAGATATTTACAATCAAATCCATATCCTTCCTTTATCAAAGTTGTGAATCAAAGTTACTTACTGACTTACTCTACTTTTTTTTTTGGGCAAAGACTTCTTGTAATGGAACTCATCCATTTGAGTAAAAGTCTTGAATATAAAATAAAAGTAATGAATATTACAATTCTAAAGAAACAAAAGCTACCGATTAAAGAAAGAAAATAGGAAGGAGAAAATTACTAAAACTTGTTGGTAATGAGCAATGGGGTCTGTAGTGTGCTAAAATACACACACACACACACACACACACAAGGGGAGTCCTGGCCAACTAGGTATCCCAAGATCTGATCGTGAAATGAAGCATTGAATTTTCTATTCTCTTTTTGTCCCTGACTTCCTTCGGTCACCAACTCATCCTAATTTGCTTCCATAGACGCCCCTGAGAGACATGCAGAGAGCCATTGACAAATATTGATGGCAAATGATAATATAATTCCTTTGGACCATTCTCATAGGGGAGAAGACAAGGATCCAGATGAGACAGAGAGAGAAAGAGAGAGATATCTGACTAACATCAGCTTTTATTCATATTTTTTGACAAACAATAACTTGAGAAACATATGTTTCTGATAAGACATCAACCACGCTTCCATCACTAGAAATATATAGATAAAAAAAAAAAACCAAAGAAACAAATCATAAAAAATCCAAAAGAAACTCAGTTCAACAAAGATAGTCATAGTAAAAGCAAGAAATTAAGGTAGAGATGACTCATGTATATGATCATCAATTTCAAAGCATTCCCGTTTCCCTTTTCTTTGCTTCTTCAGTTTCATATCCTGACAGAGCTAAGTAACTGCATACAAACAAGACCTTAGTAACACTTGTTGGGGTACAATCTATGATAAATCAGCATCATCATCAGAGAGAAGCGCGAGGCAAAAGGAAACTGCTGGCTGAAGAGGTATTTTGGGAAACCTCAAGAAAAAACATTGGATTCTTGGACTGTTAGTGGGAGCCCCTTAGACAGGGAGGCATCAATCAACAGTTAGGGCTCTTTTTCATGTTTTTTTTTTCCCAATCCTGTGTTAATAGGATATAGGACGGTAAATGGGAAAAGAACCCTTGGAAACAAACCACCCCCATCTGTACTCTCTTCATCACCCCCTTCAATATATATTGTATATATAGGGCTTTCGTACGTAGGGATGATCAAGTGATGATTTTGATAGCCCCCTACCAGATTGTGTTGCTGCAAGCCACGTAGTTGCAAGCTGTGGCAGACTTGTTAGGGTTCTTTTTCTTGGGTTTGCCCTTTTATTGCTTAGCAAGGTGCCTTTAATTTCCGTTTCCAGACAAAAATTAATTGGCCGCATGAAATATGGATGAGTAAGGCGCCCTAATTGCATACTTAGTGTTTTGATTTTGTTATTTACTGATCTGCCAAACCATAATTATGAGATGATTAATTTGCTTTCCACCGTCTAACCTCTAAATCTTTATTTTAACGAAATTTGCAGATATATAGAATCTGACAAGTTTGGCTTGGGCACGGGAAGTGGCTTGCTTCATCAGGTGCTATTTGATTACTAATCCCCAAAAGATTTCCTCTGTTATATATCCACTCTGAATCAATATTAACTAACAACATGTTAATTATACGTATGTGTCACTAACTCCTGTTTGATCCAACTTTTTCGTTATCCTTTCTTGAATGATTGAATATTAAGGTTCAAATCAAGTCTTCCTACCTACGGACTTGTTATTTGTATCAAAACAAAAAATCAAACCTCGCATGGTTGCCTGTAATGGGAACTAATAAATCCATGGGTAATATAAGATCGACCACCGTACGTCTTGCTTGCTAGCTAGCTGACACCCTTGATGTCTTGTCAAAGTACTCTCAAATAATTAATATTGGCAACTCCTCCTTGAAAAAGTTTGAAGGAGATAAAAGACTAGAAAGAGGGAGCCGAGCGAGGACTTTAATATGGTGCAGGGCTAAGGCAGTTTTGGACTTGTGGATTGGAAATTTGGAATCTCTCATCAGCTTGGAAAAGGCACGACTCTTGTTCTCATGTATCTCAATTCCATCTGACGCACAAACAGTTAACAGCGTGAGCCTATCTTTCCCTCTTTCGGCGCCCCGCTTTATGACATTGATGCACTACGATATGGTTTTACAAGTGTCAGTAACTAGAAAAATTTGCCCACCCATCGGTAGTAACTATCAGTGATTAAGCCAAACGTCAATCATCCATGAGATGTCAGCAGGACCTGGATAATAGAACAACCAAAGAGATCTTGTTGTTGCATTTGGTCAAACTGTCAGTTACTTAACGCGTCATGAGAAGGCCCCTACAAACTTTGTTGCAATTTGATAGGACTATACGAGTAAGGTCATTAAATAACAATTATTAAGTTTGTTAAATTAAATAATAATTATTCAATTTCTATTTGTTTAATCTAGTAACCGGTTATCATTTGATCAGAAATTAAAGTACAATTCATTTAATTAGAAGGGGAGGATTCTCCCTTCCCTTCTTCCTTATTTCTTCTTCGAATTTCGTTCTTCCCCCCTGAAGCTGTTAGAGATTGCCAAGCATGGAATCAATCTTATGGTTACAGGTTTGACTACAGGAGTAAACATTTTATTGAAATCAAGATCAGATCTTTGAGTGAAGCCTTTTGCCACCAATCTAGTTTTGTAACTGAAAATGGAACCATCAAGGTATCTTTTAATTCTAAAATCCACTTGTAACCAATTATATTTCTATTGTTGGCAGGTGGAAACAATTTTCATGTGTCATTACTTGTAACCATAGGATGTGCTCTCTGAGGTTGAGGTGGCTCCAGATGTAGTAAATTTGAGTAAACAGTTGAATCAGGAAGAAGGCAAAGGTAATTTCTAGGGGAGAGAATTGACACACTTGAATAAAAGGTGGTTCCAGAAAACAAAGCTGCATCCTGAGCGGGTGTTGTTTAGGTTGGAACAATTGTAAGGTGTGTCATGTACAAGATGCCATTACGAGTAAGAAATATCACAGACTAGAACGCTGAATGCAAATTTAGTAGCAAATGGAAATTTGTATTCATCAAACGAAACTTGTCTCGAGATGAAAATTTTGTTAGATTGAGGATCAAGACAAAGGTAAGCTCTTTGATGCTTAAAGTAACTAAGAAAAACACAAGTTGTAGATTTACTTTGAAGTTTATGTGTGTTATAAGGTTTTAAGCCATAAATAACATAAATAATTAAAAATTTTGAATTTAGCATAGTTAGGGTCCTAATTAAAAGTAATTGATAAGAACATTTGTTTCCAACGATAGGAGATGGAATCTATTTAGTAAATAAACTATAATTGAAAAAGAAAAATACCAATATGACCAGGTTATCAATGCTTAATGTAGTAAAGTCTAGTTTCAACATTAATACTTCAATGTTCACATTCATCGATTGCATTGTGTTGAGTGATATGTCAAGGTGTTTGTAAATGTTGCATGCCAAATGAACTGAAGAGAGATTGCACTTGTGTGAATTCAACCCCGGAATCAAAATATATTGTAACAATATAAGTTTTAAAATAATTTTTGACTGTACTCTTAAGTTCAGGAGGTTTGATTTTGAAGCAATACTTGGTTGAATGTCTTATTTTACAACAGAACTGACAAACAATCTTGAAGTTTGAATGATATGAATTTTTAGAAGAATCAGTTGGTTAGTAAAATATGGTAAATTAAAGAAGTCGATGCTGCTTTGGTTTGTGAAGTAGCTTTGGCAACAAGATGGGTAAAAGGTATGATCATATCTATTGCTGATTCTTATTTCTTGATAACTGTTTTATAATCAATGAGGTTATCTAATAGTTCTTCAAAGGGAATGTAAAATCCTCTTGCCCTACATCAACTACTATTTCCTTCACGTCAGAATCAATTCCATTTGGAGTGTAGGTGATAACTTCATTTTCACTTGCAAGTGAGGTCACCAATGCGGGTTCATCAGCAACACTTTTGAGATGTTGGAAGTATTCAAAGACTGTCATGGTGCCTTTGGATTTTGAAAGTTTGTCCTTTTAAGTTCATCTTATTCATCTTTTGAGATCTGAACTTGTTAATATATAATTTATTGATTTTAACCCAAACATCAAAAGGGCAAAAGAGGCACAACTCTTTCTACAATAGATGAAATAATACCATAAATAGCTGATCTTGTCTGACCTAGTGATCATATGCTAGATTAGCAATAAAAAAAAAGGAGGGTTGGAACCTTGTGGTTTCAAGGCTGAAGGGTAAGGGTATAACCATTTACATATCCAAGTAACTTATATCCATCCAGCTAAGAGAGACTTAAATT